AAAGTTAAATTCGATTGTCACATCCCTTTGCCAAAATTGTGATCTGATCTTGTCTTCGCTGCAGGTGCGCAATAAGGCATATGGGAATCGAATTCATAAGCACTGCTCAACTACCATGGGCCCTTGTTGAGTTGTTTCCACCTAAACCCACCAACACCTTGGAGGGGCTTTGCCTGTCGCATCTTTTTACTTTACTTCAAAAGGGTCTTAACATCACTAGGTGCAACCATTCTCATAGTCAAAACCGATGTCGACCGACCACCAGTTCACCTGTGATCACCTTTTTGACACTCAAACAAGAGAGAATAAAACCAAGATTCTGTCGGCAACAACTGTTGTAGTTCCACATGTAAAATTCTCTATTTATTCAATCAAGACTCGTAGTTTAAGCGATTAAAAATATTTACTCCTGCGTTTAAACTGATATGTTTGATTTCCCTCTAAATCTCCGTTATATAAAAGAAAAGAAAAAAATTCTCTATCTATATTTTATGCGATCACTTAATTTTATGACATATTTACTAACCTGAAAATGCGAGGAGTGAGAATAGGAGTTCGTCGACGTGGACCTAGTTGTTGGGCCTTCTGAGAACGTATAATATTAAACAGGAGGGGGTGGCTTTATATGCTATAAGTGGATTTGTGTGTTGAGAACAAGCACTGCCTTTGCCTTTACTCTTGTGGTTAAGTACTTGTACGATCCCACACAAGGTCAAGGGGTCGATTAAGGCGGTGGTGGTTTTATGGTGGTGGTGATATTGGTGGTTGATTATCTTAAATTTCAAATTATGAGGTATTCTAAAATACCTCTGTTTTTAAATACACCTGGATTTGTTTTTTTTCCCATTTACTATTTGATAAGTTTATCCCAAATGTCAATTGCATTCTTAATTTTGAGAGTCTTTTTGTTGTTTCACTCATTTACAAATTCTATATTGATTGAAATTTGGTTTTGAGTCCGAATCGAACAACAAACCACAATAGTCGATTTGTACAAAACCCAAATAAAAACCGAATCAAAGGTGTAAATAACCAACTAAATTGTTTCATTGATAAGTTGGTTTGGTTTCGGCTTGGGCTGACTTCAGTTTGACCCGTTTTTCATAAATAAAAACATGTTAGGCCCAAAATTTGAATTGAAATTGCCAAAATATAGTTTCATGACAATTCATGTTTCGTATCCATGACGTTACGGGTTGTAAGTTGTGCTTTAACTTTTCACATGAATAAATTTTAATGTAAATAGTCCTTGATTGTGTAAGGAAGGTATATCGAATATCATTGGTTGTTAAAAGAAATATATTAAAAGTTTGTATGTCATTTAGAAAGTCGTTAGGGACTTATAAGTTACAAACTCTCCGCTATTTAAAACGTATATGGATTGTTATGGTGATGATTTAGCAAATTTGATTATGTTAATTGTAACTATGGTTGGATAGTAAAAATGTGCATATAAATACGTCAATAGATGGTGAGAATACATAAAAGAAGAGAGAGCAAGCAATATCTAAATGTAAATTTCCAACCAAAGAACAGAAGCAAGCAATGCGTAGACAGTGTTTGTAGCCCAGATGACAAAAAGATAATGGACCACTAACAGATTGCATTGATTGAAGGTCATGTAGCTTGGCCCATATCCAAATGGCCGAACTGTGTACAAATTTTATAAGTACATTTGTTTTGCACAAATGGCACCGACCTTCTTCCCGGCCTTGTGGATACGTGCGCTTGCATGAAACCGCAAGGTCTCGGGTTCGAAGGCTGGTAATAATATGATGATGCTCTTAGTGATGGCCCTCACTATAGAATTCTCAGTGATGATCCCAAAAGAACTTTGGTCCAAATGAGGTATTTTAAAATACCTCTGTTTATATACTCATTTACTTTGTGAAAGGTTAGGCCAATTGCATTCAAATAAAACAATCAAAGCTTTTGTTATTTATATTTTTGTATACATTGAAAGAGAAATTCCTCTTAAACTCTTTTATAGATCAATATGTCCCAAATCATATGTTGGTTTAGGGAAACCAAATCTAGAATGATTGTGCGTCTCTTTCTATCTATAATATGATGTTCTTTAATCTTCTAATTGAAAATGAAATTGGTGGTCATTAGTGATGGGAATGGGATGGTTAGGAATCGGGTATGGAAATACCATCACCAATCGCTTGTATGAAATTTCAGTGAAAACTACACAGAGAACTCAAAGAGTTTCTGCGACTTATTCCAAACATAAATAAACCGCCAAAAGGATGGTGGTGGAGATCCGACGACAAAACGAAGTTGGAGATCCGACACCGAGACACAACCCTTCTGTGATGGTTGGGGGAAAATTATAACAAAACGAAAACAAATAGGGAAAACCTTCTGTCTCTAAAAGTGGGGAAAGAGGAGAAGGGAGGAAGAAAAGAGGAGAGAAGGGAGGAAGAATAGTGACTTCCTTCTCCCTCAAGTAAAAAACGGCTATAGGAGTGTTTTTTGAGAGAGAATGGACTAGAATTTCTCTTTATGTTGAAAATTTTATTTGATTCAGTTTAAATAAAGCTTTACAAAGTTTAGGGTAACTTTTTAATTCTTATATTGTATTATATTATATTTTTATTAATTAAAAACAAATGCATCATTTATCGGGCTGAATTCAGAAATGGGAATAACAATATCATCACTTATCGGCCGGGCAATGTGTATTTTGTGTAGACTATGTGTAGCCCAAATGACAAAAAATAAGAGAGATAATAGACCACTAGCAGATTACATTGAGTGAAAGTCATTTGGCTTGGCCCATATCCAAATGGCCGAACTGTTACAAATTTATAAGTTTATTTGTTTTGCAAAAATGGCACCGACCTTCTTCCTAGCCTTGTGGTTAAGTGCGCTTGTATGAAACCTAAAGGTCTCAGGTTCGAAGGCTGGTACTGATGGTGATGATGATGATGATGATGATCGGTGTTCATCCCAAAACAACTATGGTCCAAATGAGGTATTTTAAAATACCTCTGTTTTTATACTCATTTACTTTGTGAAAGGTTAGAGCAATTGCATTCTAGTAAAACAAAAGAAGCTTTTGTTATTTATATTTTTATATTCATTGAAAAAGAAGTCCCTTCTATATATCCCTAAATTTTATTGGAAT